CCCTCCTCTGCTAGATGAGTGTCTTCCTGTACATCCTGGCGGCCCGGGCCTCCTGTGCTGCCCACCGGCAGGGCTTTGAGAAGAAGGGCCCTGTGTGAGTACAGGGTGTGGGTGCCGGGCAGTGGATGGGCGGCGTTGGAGGCCGCATGGCCTGGCCTCACTCACAGTCCGCCCTGCTCCCCAGCTCTGGCCTGAGGCCCTCCTTCGCTGTCCTGCTGCTGCTGAGTGCCGCGTGGCTGCTGGCTCTGCTCTCCGTCAACAGCGACACTCTCCTCTTCCACTACCTCTTCGCTGCCTGCAATTGCATCCAGGTACCCGGCCGCCCGTGCCTGGGGGAGCCCCACGGAGACAGGAGGGGGAGCGGGGCTGTGGGTGCTCCAATGGGCACTGACACAGCTGCTGCCTCCTGCCTGCCAGGGCCCCCTCATCTTCCTCTCCTACGTGGTGCTTAGCAAGGAGGTCCGGAAAGCACTCAAGTTTGCCTGCAGCCGTAAGCCCAGCCCTGACCCTGCTCTGACCACCAAGTCTACCCTGACCTCGGTGAGGGGCCCAGGGCTCAGGGAGGAGGAGGGCTCTCGGGGAGTCGGGGGAGTGGCACGAGGCCCCAGGAGCCTGCTCTCTGTGCTTTGGTCCCACTTTCTCTCCATCCCTACATTCTTCCCTGGAAGGAGGAAGGGGTGGTAGAGTGGTATGTGTGGCCTGGGAAGAGGGGGCCCTGAGGGGAGGGGAGGGGGGCTTTGACTCGGGAGAGAGGGCCTGGAGTTTGGAAGAATCAGGTGAGGAAGTGGCCAGGACAGTAATCAGGCCCTGAATGCCCAACACCTGAGAACCCCCTGGGCTCCAGGTAAATTCTCCACGTCTCCCAGGAGGCTCTCAGGAGATAGCTCCTAGTGCCGTCTCTTACCGACAAGCCCGTATACAGCCGAGTCCGGGGTGCTCGGGGTGCACAGGACTGGCACAGCGATGGCAGAGCTGCAAGCACTACTCGGCCCTGCGATGGGAGGCAGCGGAGATGTGGGCCTCTCTTCCAGACGTGGGGTGTGGGAGGTGGGACTTGGGGCAGGCTCCCCCAGCTTTTGTGCTTCCAGCCTAGGACCGCCCCCCCATCTTGCTCCTCCACTCACTGACCTCTCTGTTCCCCATCCAGTCCTACAACTGCCCCAGCCCGTATGCGGATGGGCGGCTGTACCAGCCCTACGGAGACTCGGTCGGCTCTCTGCACAGCGCCAGCCGCTCGGGCAAGAGTCAGCCCAGCTACATCCCCTTCTTGCTGAGGTGAGCCCAGTGACGAGG